CTAGTATAGCAGGACTGATTGGACTTCATGAAAGGAATATACTTGTTATAACCCACATGAATACTTCCCCTCTGTCAGCAACTCCTTAAAACAGCACTCAAGGGTGCCGGCAAGTGGATGTGCTGTTTGCGGCTGCAGGACAGGTGAAGGAGAGCTTTTGCTCTCGTAGTGGGCTGGCTGCTTGCTCTACAGAAAACAAGCTTTTGCCCTCTGACAGTCCAGCTCTGTACAGAGCAGTGTTTGCCTTCTGTAATGTCAGTGAGAAGTACAGTTGAGCAGGACAATGCTGTTCCGAGTGTCTTCTCCATAGACTGCTCCTTGCCAACCTGGGTTATGCTTTAATATTATAATTTTCCCCATTACTTTGTCAAGCCTGCAGGAAATTCGCCATTTCTGTTATTTTCACAAGCGTCACTTGCACTTACTGTCTGAAGTCTTTGAATCCACAGGATCAAATCAAAGCTGCTCCTTTTGACCATCCAAATTACAAACACACTGACTGTGATGCATTATTTTTAAATGGCCTGTTAAAATTTAAAAGTATTTCCAGATATTTTTAATTCTTCCCTAAAACAGTCTAAGGATATCTGTTAAAGTATTGAATTTCCTTAAAGACAGCATTGGTTGGGATCGCTTCAGCTGCAAATGAAGGTTGTCAGTCAAAGTGCTTTTTCTGGTTTAGTCTCTGGCCTGGGAGGTTTTAGCATCTCTTTCAAAGTGAGCCAAAGAAGAGAGCTAGTGAGCTGTTAGGCCTTGTTTTGCCCTGTGTTTAACCTAGCAGACAGTCAGTCAGTACTTTTGGCGAAATCTTCTATGTTTTCCTGGACACCTCACTGCTTAGTAAGGAAACAAGCTGTACTGTTTTGACATATTTTTGCACTTTTCACATTCTTTTTTCTGCAGCCTGTGTCCAACATTTTAGTATATTGAGTGCAAACATTTGCATTATTATTAAGCCATTGGGTCTGCTAATGAGAGGCTGGAGTAGGAGGCAGAATGATGTATTTACTATGTAGGATTTCCTGCAGAGATGAATAATAGATTCATGGTGAGTTGGAAGTAGATAACTAGCCCAAAGAGTCCTTAAAAGATTCCGGCCTCACCTGCCCCCGAAATGGAGCTGCAGCCCAGAGCAGGGTGAGATTCTGCATTGGTGTCCTGCAAAGAAAATGTTAGAAATAGATCAGAAGCAAACAGGAAAACATGCAGAAGAGAAAAAAATGCATCCTACTCCATCAGTGTCTCTTACCTCAGTTTCTTCAGCCAAATGATCAAAGGAACCGCTGGAAAGAAACAGTAAGTTGTGTCGGAAAGGAGGTGACCACTGGTTTAATTTGTAAAGTTGCATAGGAGGTTGGATCAAAGGCTGTAGTTCCGTGCAGTGCAATGGGATGGCCAAGAGGGACGTGAACTCGGACGCAGCTGCTAACACAACACAGTTAGTAGAGTGTTGTTGTAAAGAGGTTAAGGTTGAAGAGCTGAGTCTGGGCAGAAAGAGCAAGTCAGTGGCAGCGCGTGGGCTGGGAGCAGCATCTGCTCCCGCGAAGGAGGTATGGGGAAACCTTGCTCTCGTGTTTGTGATGAGAGGAAGAACAACAAATGGCAGAGATTTTTCAGTACATCAGGTAGCATGCAGGCAGTGAAATATGTTGGGTTATCGTGTGATCAGCGATATCAGATGTGTTTTATCTCAAATGTACTTTTCTGAAGCATTGCGTCGGGCCTTTTGGAGAGAAACAGGTAGACAAAGAGAAAAAGATTATTTTCCCTACTTTTCTGAACCCAGAAGAATACTTAATCCAGTTTTCCATTCAATTCCCTTTTCTTCGCATCAATCCCTAGAGTAAAATATATTTATTTCTTCAATATTATTTATCTGGAAAGATTCGGAACTGAATTGTTTCATATTATACTTCAGATATGTGGTGTGTCTCATACTTACAGCATTATAACTCCAGTCAGACATGCTTATTTATTGCATGCTGATATTCTAACACTAAGTCTATCAAGTGTTATGACAGTTTATGAGAATATTACTTCACTACATAATTATTTTTATTGTGGTGATGATGCCATATTGATCTAGATTTCCACTTGCTCATGTGCATCACAATGCTTAATTTTGTGTCATGATAACATGAAAGTGTAAGAGAAGTGAAAGGTTTTGTCTCTTCAGTTATAATTTCTTTTTTAAGAATTTTTTAATGCTTTAATTATTTTTTTTCTGTGTGATTGAAGGAAGCTGGCATCATCACCAAGCTCGCCACAGAAGAAACATTTTTTAAATGTTCAGTGTGTAAAAGTCGTCAATGTTGTTACCTTTGTAAACAGAAGATGATGGACAGAAAATCTGCAGGATTTTCAGCAAAAGGGAGTAATTTTTTCATCTCTTTTTCATTTCTTAATGGAAGAAGAATTATGGGAATGAGAGTGGGCATTGCATTAAGTGCTTGAAATGTTCCTTCCCTGCAGACCAATAAAAACATAACTCTTCCATTAGGGAAATTTAGTTTCTTAAAGGCTGCATGAATCTAAGCTCTGAATCAGTGAATGAGATGACTAAGCTGGAGTAAGCGTTTCAAGGTCTGATTATGTATTTTAAGTCTTTTGTAGGTGGATACTAGCTCTTAGCTTGTCTTGTAAGGCTTCTTCAGAGCAACGTTTTCTGTGACTCTCATTAACCTCTTGGTTTATCTTGTAGTACCTCTGTAGTGCCATCTCCTGTTATGCAGGTTATACAGAGTTTCAAAGCCACGGGGACTGAATGATTTTTCCTACCTGAATTTGGACTAGAAGGTTTCCTGGCCTTCTCAAAACACTCTAGCTACTTGCCTAACTCCATAAACAGAAGTCAAATAATGCAAGTCAAAAATGTGACCTTTCTATGCTTCATGTGGCGTGTTTATAGCTGTTATAGCCTCACCTGTGACTATAGATTATGCAGATTATGACTCTCTGCCTTAAAAGTATCCCTCATCTTTAAGTGTGAGGTGAAAATGTATCAGTAAACTGGTGTCGCTGGGGATGTTCAAATTAGGTCCCTGATCAGGGCTGTGAAGAATTAATACCAGAGCAAGTGGGTATTCAAGTGAAGCCATCTTTTTTTTCTGTGCTGTTAACCATAAAATAGTAATCAACATTAATTTCTAGATTCTAGAAGATCACAAATAAAAATTAATAAAAAAGTGCAAAATCATTAGCAGTCATTACCACTGCTCCTTACTTCTAACTTATTAATCGTATTTCGGTTTCATATACTATATTACTTAAGCTGTCAAACACATCACAGAAATATATAAGGATGATTTGTCCTCAGTTAGTGTATGAGGAGACAGAGACACCAAGAGCTTCTGACACTTGTCCAAGGTCTGGAAATGATTAAGTGGAATTCTTTCTTTTTATTATTTTTATTTAGTTGTAAATAGTCTGAATGTATCCATAATGGTCTGGTTATAATTGATCAAATAAATCCCATTTCTCCTTATTTTGCTGAAGGGCTGGCCCCATGGGCGCATGCAGCACAAATAGTTAAGGCAACAAGTGTAATTATTGTGAAGATTTGGTCATGTGCGGGGCTGGTTTTGGTTTAGTTTTTGAGGTTTGTTTTCTGCAAACACTGCTGAGGGTCATTTACCCATCACTAGAAGTGTTCCTTGAAGCTCCAGTCCATCACAGGACTCCCACGAGTGCATTCCTGTGCTCCTGTTATGTTTTATATGCGGACAACCTAGTCCTTCTGGCTTGATCCAGGAAAACGACATCTATGCAGATATTAGTTATGGTCCTTACAAATTCAGGAAGCAAGGAGAACATACCTGACCTACACAATCCTCTATCCCCATCCTGATTATTCATTCCTAATGGAAAGATTTTGAAACACTGAGAAAACACTTTGGTGGGGGAAGCACATGGGCATAAAATTTTCAACTCCTTGTTGATTTTCTTTCTGGTTTCTTCTTATTTTATCCCCTCTACTGGTCCTATGGCCTAGTCTGTTGATGAATTGAATTGGCTGCCTGCTTTAGACATTATGAAAGGATACTGGCAGTGAATTTCCACCTCGCACATTAGATTTTTGGCTGATTTAAGCTGGGGTCACCCTGTGCTAGTGCCATAGGTGGCTAATAGCCCCTGGGAAACCAGCCGTGTGGACTGGGGCTGCCTGTAGAAAACACGAGTTCCCAGGTGTCTTGGATGCATTTGCACACAGAAGGAGCCAGATGGTTTTCTCTGTGGGTTTTCTTTGGCTTCGCTCAGCGGGAGAAATACCTGAGATGGATGCTGCCAGGTAGCTCCTGTCTGTTTAACAGCTGCTCTAGCTCTTCTCTCAGACATGTATTTAAAGCATAAAAATGAAAGATGGGTAGAAATCTGTGTGGCCAAGTGGGGAGTGGGGAAGACTTCATGTCTTGTGTATCTCCAGACTCAATGGGGTGGGTCTGGCCCCAAGCTGGCATCGCAATCTGGAATGTGATGGTGGTATGTGCTGGATGGTTCATAAGTGCTCTGAGATCAAAGGCACTTTCTACATGTTAATTAGGTTTTCTCGTTTCACAGCCCTTGGGCATGGCTCACTCATGGCTGCGTGGTCAGCAGGCACAGTCACCCACTGGAGCCATCTGACGCTGTGTGTAATATGCACTGCTGCAGTCAGCCACCCTCCCCAAACACCACGACCTTCAGGAAGCTTAGGTCAGGTCCCACATCACCTGCATTTTAAAGTAATGGGTTGGTTGGCTTATACTGGCAATAAAGGAACCATCCCTCTAAAACAAGGCTAGTCTCCGGGTCATTATCCAGGCCAAACAGAGGTGCGGACTCTGGTTTTATCCTGGACAACAAAAATTAATGCAGGGTAAGCTGCACCTCAGCCACACACCCGACCTCGGGGCCTTTAGCAGCAGCCCAGCGGCATTAGGCAAAGCTCCAGGTGTCTCAAGCAGGCTGGTCTCAGGCAGCCATCCCCATCTCACATGCTTGCTCTTGTGGTCTCATTCCAGGGCAACCCCCTGTACTTCCAGTCTGCCAGAAATGTGACAGTGAACATCCTCAATGAGAAGACTAAAGTCCTTACTCGCCTTGTAACAGGTAAGGAGGGGGAAAGGCTGCGTGGAAGAATTAAAAGGAGGGATGAAAGCGGGTGTGTTGTGGGATGCTGTGCTGGCTTGAGACAGCACACAGGAGGAGAGCCCAGGTGTCTTGTGAAGTATAAATGAAAACTTCGCTCCACTTTGTAGAAACAAAGCTAGAGACATGAAAGCCGTGCTGGAGAGGCAGCTGGCTGGTGCTTTCTGATAACGAAGCACACCATCATTTTCATTTGAAAGCCAATCCAGAGACAGAAAGGTTAGTTGTATGACTTCAGGGTCAAGAAGAACATATGCAGGCTGACATTTCTGTTGTAACAGGCACGGGCTTTTCCTGAGACACTTTTAACTTGCCTGAGATCTTGGGAACTCTGCAGATTAACATGTGGCTAGGTTGGGACACTTTGCAGTTTAGAGCTCTCTGTGCCCTTCTGCTGTTGAAGAACACTGTCGTGCTCCCAAGCACAAGTGTGTTTGATGGGGAACTGGGTGTTTAATAAACCCCCAGTGCACAGCAGCCTTTGAATGAATGTGTGTGTAATTTGGGTTGAAAGAGCCTAATGCATTATATATGGTAATATATATATGACATAGGATAGATATTTATTTATTGAGATTTATCTAAGGACCAGGAGAAGTATTGCTGTGTGGCAGAGCCAGTGATCCATAAACATGTTGTTTCTACGTGAGACTGGGTTGTTTGGTTTGCTTATGTAACATCTTGGCTTCTAGTCACAGCCTTAAATAATTAAATATGCAGCTTCAGTAAGCAATGATTTAAGCAGCACGCATGAAAATTGCCTGGAGGAAGGAAATAAATTCAACCCCAAGCTCCCTGATTCTCACATTCAGATTGAATGCGTTTAGTTTGTTGGTTCTCCGTATATTTTCAAGAGGGTATTTGGTTCACTGAAGCACCTCCATTTCATAACGGCTTTGGGAGGACGCGGTCAGCGACGCCTCCCAGCGCGATGTGCTGCTTATTGAGGTCACCTCTGCATTCGGCAGCGGCTTTGGTTTCCGAGTGGAGCAAAGACATGGTCCCATGTACTGCATGCTGCAGTGATGAGTAGGGAGGCAGTTAATTAGCAAGATACAAATCAGACTTAAAGCTCAAAAGTACTGGATTTTCTCAGAATGGCTGCAGGATTTTTAAGTGTTTCCAGGGATCTTGGCATAGCCTCACTTTTCTGTAGTCCAAACCATGCACGTGATTCTTTGTGTGCCCAGATGCCAATGCAGATGACCTGTGCAGGCAAATGTGGGTATAGATGGAGTTAGAAACTGCCTATGAGAAAATACTGGCTATCAGCTCTTATCTCTATTGCCTTTAGAGAAATGAGACTAGTCAGGAAGATGGCCAAAAGTAATGCGAAGTCCGATCACCTGCCTTGTGCAGTACAATATTCCAGGGCGGCTATGGCTTGGACTGGGTTGTGTAGGGCTGCGAGATGGTGATTTGTCCAAAGTTCAGCCTATGTTGGTTAACTGAGGGGTCTGCTCTTTGTAGCCTTTGAGCCACAGACCCCAACAGAATTGCTATTCAGGCAGCTGATGTTTATCAGGCTCCACAACAAAATACGTTGCCAGAGGCTTTCCAGCACTGCAGTGCACAGCAGCCTGCAGGAGAAGCGGCAGAATTGAAGTAAGAGCTACAAAGGGAAGTATAACTCACCTGAAAACTTTCTGAAATGTGGGAAACCCTGCGGTTGTCTTGGCCTGCACATGACTGAAATGGTTTAAAAGAAAACATTTGCTCCTGTGGTGGTATTTGTCTTTTTTTTTTTTTTTTAATTGGGCTGTGCATGACACTGGTATTTTAATCCAGGTATATTTAATAGACAGAAAACCAGGAATCTTTTACACCACAGCATCAGTCCAAGCAAAATGTACTCAGGAACTCTTGATGCCTCTTGCAGCCGCACCCATACTCTCAGAGCACGGCTGGATATATTCATTGCTATTTCACATGTGGGTTTGTCTTCTTGTAAAAATTTCCCAGCCATGCCAAGCTTAATGGTGATTTTATGACATACATAAGCATTAACAAAACCTAAGTAAAAATAGTTGAGGGATTGTTATTTGGGTAGAAAACACTGCCCTTTCCTAATGAGAGGTCACCCTCTGAAAAGCAGAGACCTCCCTGTTTGATGTGTCAGATGCAGGTTGTATCTACAGAGCTATTAGGATCTCAGCAGATGGGTTTATTTAAATATATGAAGCTAATATGTGATTTTCTTACACCTTTCACTAAAAGGTTGTGCTAAATCTCTTCTTCCCTCTAGGTCCCCAAGCAGTGGAAGCACACAGCCAAAAATTTGAGGTGAAAACCCTCTCTGGAAAATTGCTGTTTTCTGCAGATGACAATGAAGTGGTGGTTGGAGCAGAGAGATTGAGAGTTTTAGGTAAAAGATTGTTCACTAAATCAATGTTTTAATAAGCTCCTCTTCAAATTTTAGAATAGTTTTGCCTGACTTTCCTTCATGCTTGCAGAAAGCTTCTTTTGGAGATAAAGCCTTTCACTGCCTTTATTGCTTTGAATCTTCCCCAAGCAGATAATGGCCAGGGGTTTCTGTCTGAAGGGTTTTTTAACTTGCACAATGTGTTATTTCCCCTCCAGAAAAAACTCCCCTGGAAGTGATTTGTCTGTCTCAGTGAAGTATTTTTAAAACCAGCTTTGGAAAGTGAACAACTTCATCTCTTGGGTCTGGGATGAAGGACGGTGAGGGATCACTGCAAGGATGCTTGCTTCCATGGCTGCAGTCACTGCATGTAGGGAATCCTCAGGCTTCATGGTTTTGATCGCACCACTTTCACCAGCTCCTCCGTCATTCTAACGCAAACACTAAGGAGGAGGCCTGCAGTGAAAAAGTCAGCGTGAGATAGGACCCGGCATTAATCCTCTGAGTAGTTTGGCGTCCTTTATATTAATTATCTTTCCTTAGCCACGTGCAGGAGCATGTTGTGCACCTCTGAGCCATCCCCAGCTATGCTGCGGCTGGTTGAGCACCCCGCGCACAGGAGGAGAGGCCAACCTTACCAATGCCACCACTTCCCCACCTACCTTTTGAGACAGAGGGGGCAGCTTGAGCTCTCCTTTTGCCTGTGCAGGATCTGCCTCCCCAGCTGTCCTGCCTGCTAGGCTTTACGTCAGTAGATCCTAATAAAAACTGGGGATACACTTTGGGTTTGGGAAGTTGGAGTTGTTTATTGTTTGTTTTGGGTTTTTCTTATATTAAAGAAAAGAAAGAGTTATGGTAATTGTAAAATTTTAAAATGTAATTGATAGTTATATGACGTTACGACTTAGGAACTTGAAATTTCTTGCTCTCCAGTTCAATCCGTACTCTTCGGTTAGATAAGATTTGCTCATAAACGTTTTCATGTAGGACCAAACTGGATAACTCAATATTGCTAGCAGTTAGTCACACAACCATGCCACTGGTCTCTGTGGATGCCCTGATACCTGTTTTCTAATGGCTTGATTTGGATGCATCTGTTCACTACAAATTGTTCCTTACTTCTCTAGTAAGCTCCTAAACACAGAGATCAATGAAGGAGCTTAGAATAATCTAGAGTATTTTTATTTATTGTTATTTGCTACATACTATATAGAGTATTATTGTTATATTATGTATAATCTAAAGGAGCTTAAAATGAGGACCTTAAAGTCTAACCATCATGACTGGGACTTTGTATCCAACCATTAACATTTTTCATTACCTGATGTTGTGCTACTCCAGATAGTTCCTGTCTTTAGACAGGCCACATGTAGCTCTTTGCAAGTCACTGTTGGTACATACTTGACTAGTTCAGTCACCAGCTATACAAAGTTAGGTGAGTTTTATAGGATAAATGTTGAACTTCACAGAGTTAAGAGTATCTTTTTTAGCTTAAAACTTTGAAAAGGACCATTCAAAATTCTTTCAGTGTTACAGAGCTGGCGAGCATTTGTCACAGTTCGTGTTCTACCACAAATCTCCCATCACACTGCACCCTTCAGAGTGAATTACTTGCACAGTCTTTGTGCAGGGTAGATTAAGTCAGGAAGCAACAGTTTTTAAGTGTTTTCTTGGAGACCTTAAAATAAGAGAGGTTTATATCATTGGTTCTTCAAATAAATACAGAAACTGTTCTTTACAAGTTTCAACTACTCCTTTTCAGATTACATACTTTAAAAAATATTGCTTTTTATTTACTTTGTACTTTGGAGAAACCAGAAATTCTTTTTTGATTGTTATTTTGCATTTCTGCCTTGTGTTCGTCTCCAGAATAAACAGCATCAAAAATACTGCTAACCACTGTAGTACACTTTCATTTTTATCTGCAGCTGAGTGTTTCTTGGGTTTTATTTGGCTTATGCAGATCTGTCAGAAAAGAAAAGGTAGAATGATACCACTGGTGATGTTACATGGCGAGAATTTCAATGACCTTGAGCCGAAATTCTTTTGGAGTTCATGCTTGGCTTTGTTTTTCTGCAGCTTTGCTTCCCCATTCTAATTTTATCTCCAAAAGTGGTTGCCATGGCTGTTTGCCATGCTGCGAAGTGTTATACCATATGTTCGTATTTCTTCCAGTGTTTTTGCTGCACTTGAGGCTAGTCCAACATAGTACACAGACAAATTCCTTTGATCATTTTTCTGGTGTTTGGGATCTCAGGTGCTGTGGGTATGTGTCTGCTGACACCTATCTGTGCGATGTAAATAATCTCAACTTGTTCTTGTCATTGCTGAACACGTACTTGTTATAGAAGGAAGTGTACGTCTGCAATCTGGCATGAAAGTCATCTCACAGAGGTTAGAGCAGCAGTTACTGGGCTTGTGGCTAGCTTTTAATCTTGTTAATGATAATTACTTTTTTCTTTGTACGCTCTTCAAAGTTGATTCTGAAAGTTTGTTCTACAAAGGAATGTTGAAGCCTTGTCATGAGAAAAGAGGTGCTTTCCTTTTTTGAAATGGATTCTGCTCTGGGTAGCTAAAGGGTTTTTCAACATTAGCAAGGCATTAAAAAGGGAGGAATACACAGAATTACAGATAAAAAAAATACAAGTATGACATGTGCTGCATTTGATAGCGCTTCAAAAAATTGCACGGCATGCGTAATGCAGATTACCAAATGAAAAAAAGTGCTTTTTGTTTTAATTGTATTTTGGGTGGTTATTTCTGATTTTTAACCATTAAAGGACACAGAAGGACAGAGTTGGTCCCCTCTGCTTTTCATGCATGACGTAATTTAGAGTATTTCAGTGATTTTATTTGTTTTAGTGAATCCAGTCAAACCTGTCATCTCAGGAGAGATTGAAGGATAACAAGAACTTCTGTTTGAGGGGAAGGGCAGCCCTCTGAGCTCTTTGACTGTGGTCAGCCTTTCCAGACACAAGCACAAGTTCCCTCTGCCTTGCTCAGAGCCAGCGGGGAGCTCAGCAGCTGCATTGGTCCAGATGACTCAGAAGGAGCTCATGTTGCCTACAAAAAGTCATGTAGAAACAGCCTTATGCCAAATCTGGTCTGGCCTTTTTCTTCTGAGCTTGCCTGCCAGTGCCAGCAATTGCCCAGCCATCTCCTGCGCTCTCGTGGTGGGATCGGATGGCAGCACATCCTCGTCTTAGCACTGCTTTCCTTCACAAGCTTCACTCCTGTAGTGTTTGAGCACCACATGCTCTTTTGTAAGATACTGCAGCAAATCTGGGAGCTGTTCTCACTCCTCAGAACTGTGACTCTGCTTTTGCAAGGCTTAGATTTTGAAGGCAAAATCTGCCACTTCTCTGCCTGCTGAACCTGGGGATGCGGGGGGGTGAAACGCAAACCTTCCCTGCGCTGGCCGTCGCCACGGTCAGCAGTGCACTTCGGCAAACACCACGTAGACGCACGCTAATGGCTTGCTGGGTGTCCCCCGCTGGCTCATAAACACATATGGTCTGCATTACGGGAGATGGATGAGCTGGTCCTAATTGAATTCCGATGTGGTACAGCATACAGCGGTTCTCCTCCCTCCCTCCTTCCCTCCAGAAATGAAACATGTTTGGATCATCTGAAAAATGGTGCATAAGAAATACTCTTTAGTTGAAAGAGCATTACAAAATAACTTTGATATATATTAATTACCAATTGCATTTTGTAGCATATTGAATGTTATAGCATTTATAAACAAAAGACAATCATAAAGCATTATTCTGACTGTTAATTAGCTCTATTTATTCTCCAGATTAGTTTTTAAATATGCCCTCTAGATGCCACTTGGTACTAATTAACAGAGTTACATTATTATCTCTATAGAAAAGCATTTTTAATTAAATCTAAAGCAATTTAAATTAGCATGAGTTTTTACAGAAATTAAACTCTGGTCAGATGCTTAATTTAGCCTTATAAGACAACATCTGATGACATGCCAGTGTCAGTTCTCCCAAGGGCCTTGACGTCTTTTTTGGAGATTATTTTTTGAAGTTTGTTTTCAGGGAAACTTGCCAGTATACGCTGGTGTTTAATATTTATGATGGATTTAACCAATTTTTTTTAAGACTAAATATTGATGGGAATCCACATGCATTGGAGTGAGCTGAGAGAAAAACGCCAAAGCTGCATTCCT